TTTAAATTTTTATTTCAAGTTCACTTGCTTCTCTTTTGCTTTCCCCCTTTCTAGTGTCTGATATATGTGCAGCTACCTTACATGGAAGACTTGCGACAATACATGTTTTCCTCTTTGAAAAACAACAAAAAGTACACTCCTACAGGTGAGTTAGTCTCTTGTTGTCTCATTGATTGGCTGCAGTCTAATACCATACCTTTAAATCACTCTAAAATACATGGAATATTTGACTTTCCCATGGAAACATGTTCAGCTCATGTCAGAACTTTGATTAGTTGGAGACTGAAGATTGCACGCAGACTTTCAACACTACTGCAGGCTAAAGTCTGTCTTGGGTTAAATGATTACAAGCAGTCATCTGAGGCTTTATCATTTGGGGGGCGGGCTGGGAACTGGGTAACCCTTCATGATCCAGTCAGTCTTTGGCTTCTCCTGAGACTGTCCATGAAGGGTTTCTTTGTGATGGGATTCATGTTGTAAACCTCTGTAAATTAGGAACTGGACTCAGAACGAACAGCTCCTTCAGATAACGCTGTCTAACAGCCACCTTCACATGCATATTGTGAAGCAGTTTACAAGTGCAAAGCCAGTTTTTAAATCTGCGTGCAGGCCTCAGTGCTGAAGAAGCAGGCACACACAAGTGCTGGGGTTCAAACAGGAGGCCAGGGTGAAACCGCACAGTGTTTGGCTCACTGTCCCAAGAGTCTGGAGTAGAAAGGGTTAATGGCGTAATATGTAATCCAGGCTGTGTTCCATATGTTCTAATTTGTTGTAAGGCTCACTCTGAAAAGGAGCAAGAATCTGACAGTCAGGACATGAAGGAAGCTGTGCAGTTCCTGATTTGCTTCGATTTTCTGCCCATAGCAGGCAGTTTGAAAGCCGAAATTTAACAACCCATCTTACCAAGGCAATAATTGACTATTGTGAACTGAGTTAATTTACATGTGTAACTTTTAAAAGTTGCATTACTCCATTTAGTTCTCCAAGCCAACTGTTCGCCTCGTTTTCCAAGTGGCCTATAAACCTTCTGTTACAAATAAAAACATCTTGGAAAAGAAGAAAAATGGAAGCAGAAAGGCAGCAATAATTGAGATCTTCACAAAACTGAAAGGCTCGATAACTCTACATTGTTGTCCTTAAACAATGCAGGATTTTCATTACTGTGTTCATTATCAGCCTGTCTATAGCCTCAGGGAGTATAAAACACATTGCATTTGGGGGCATTTAATGCCTTTGTTAAAATCTCACATTCTGAAGTGAGTCTTTGTGGGTGAATTATTTGCAAGCAGTTCCGTCTGGCAAGTGTATTTAATCTTTTTTGTGTATATTTATATTTGTTGGTTTAGTGGATCAGTTATCTGCAGTTGACTCTTTGATTGACTCTATGAGTTTGGTTTATGAAGATGAAGATGGGGAAACAACTGAAGACTTATTTAAAACCAGCAAAATCCCAAACCCTCAGTTTCAGAGGTTATACCAGGTGAGAGAGTAAACCTTCAGGTTAAAACTTTTCCTGCTTCTACATACCTCTCCTTCTCCCTCTCTTTCTCAGTGTGTGAAAGGACTTGTATTGTGGCAAGTGTAATTTAAACAAATTGACCCCAGGTCCGGAGTAGCTTTGCCACTGATATTAGTTTCAGATGGAATATTTCTATCTTCCTGCATCTTAAGGGTTTGAACAGGCAGTGTAAGCAAAGCCTTATCTAAGGAAATACAGGGCCCCCAGGATAGGTTGGACCCTTCACAATAAAGCACGCGCTTGACAAACAACGGTATCTTCTTTTTAGGGACAGAACCAATGTCCCAAGTTCTGTTTGCCACCATAAACCATATTATGCAGCATTGCCCACCAAACCCAGTCCTTCACTGCCTTTCCACTTGCCTGGTCCAGGGCAGCATAATCAGTGCAGTGTCCCTTGATGTTTGTTTATTTTATTTGGCCACAAACTGAAAGTGGACAGCCAACAGTCTGATACTAAATATATTTCATACTGGCAACCCATAGCTGCAAGATAGAACTTATTGCTTGGAAATTGGAAGTTCTGACAAGCTTGGTAAGGAGTAGTTAGGATCTTTTCCCCTCGGGAAGGCAGGCTTGTGTAGTGTTTTGGAAAGGAGGAGGCAGTTGAAAAGGGGGTGGCCCTTGCCTTCCCTTTTTAGGAAGGGACAGAGTTTGACTTCATATCTAGGGAGGGCCTTAATTCCTCATTCTCTACTCCAGCAAATGTTGAGAACATCCATCTGCTGCTGCATCCAGCAATGATAGATAAGCATTTTAGCTTGGTGTTTCTGCTAAAACAATCAGGCGTGAAACAGTTAACAGTGTCGACACTTAAAATATCCTCATTGGGCTTCAGAGTGAACATGTTTTAGAGCTAAATGGAGCAGTTCACACTTGATTCAGAGCTATTGTTTCAAGCTGTCTCTGTTTTGATTTACATTTGTTTCACATCTGAGGGTTTTCTTTGCAACCATGAAGGCGAGAGACTTAATTATGCCCCAGAATTTAAGGGTTCGTTTTTTAAAAAGATGCGATAGATTCAAAAAGAAGGGCAATTATGATCCAATTTATGCAGCTGCATAATCATGTTATACACAGGGCTATTGATAGAATCTTGTTGAATGTGGGTTTCTCTTCTGAAAAGTGACTAAAATGGCATTGTGGAGTCCATCATAATTGTGTTTCAATGATTTCCAGATGAAATTTGTGCATTTTACAAGTAAAAAAAAAATGTTTTTTTCCTAAGTGCCTGGGTTCTGAGAGTGCTCTTAGGTTCTTTCCTTTTACTGCATTGTCACCAGTAATAGAAGATTCTGCGGGTCAAATTTTATCTTCAGTGACACAAGTCTTGAAATCTTAGCCTCAATTACCCCTGCCCAACCCAGTACTCTGTTCCAATTCTGCCTACTACATTGATTGCAGCTGATTGCAAGATTTGTCAGGCAGGAGCTTTGTTACTTGATGATGATATTTGAGATGAAAAGATCCCAGCATGAATCAAGTAACTGGGGATATTTTCAAGCCTGGAAGTTAAGAAAAAAAAACTATTGTTTTATTTATAAATGCAACAATTGTGTGATAGAAATCTCTCTGCTTTGTACAGATAACGTTTTAAACACTTGCTTCAGAGATCAGTCATGTGTTGGAGAGCTCTTTCCTTAGTGTGCCATGGACTTCCAAAACACTGATTTGAAAGGGCTGCTAAAGGGTCATTATGTTACTGTAAACATTTTGTTTTTAGAGGAAGATGGAGGGAAAAGAGGACTCTCTAGGAGAGCTGCTGTTGGTAGGACGTTAATTTTATTGTTTATGCTTGTGGCCACAGGTCCAAGCCAGATTGGGACCTCATTGGGTATTCCACAGAAGAGAAAAACCCAGCACTGGCTGGTGCCTGCTGACTCGGGCTCAGGCTGCAGGGCTTTTACGTTACCATGTGGATGTTCAGACACAGGGTAGAGTCTGGGCTTTGGGACCTGCCCACTCTGCAGAGTACTAGCGCCTGGAAGTTTAGACATCTAGGAAACAGTAAGCGAGTCTGCTCGTTCTTTTCTGGCATTGGGTTGGAATAGCACTATTTTACCATAGTGCAGGACGGACAGCTCAGAGGTTTGAACATTGGCCTGCTAAACCCAGAGTTGTGAGTTCAATCCTTAAAGGGGCCATTTAGGGATCTGGGGCAAATCTATCAGGGATGGTGCTTGGTCCTGCCCCGAGGGCAGGGGACTGGACTTGACTTCTCAAGGTCCCTTCCAGTTCTATGAGATTAGGTATATCTCCAGGTTCTAGGTAGAATCCCAAGTTGACTATGCAGCTATGTAAATGGCAACTAAATGTATCTTATTTTTCAATTTGATGCATAGCTGCATTCCAAAAATTATCTATATCGATATCTATATCTCTATATAAAAAGAGTTGTACCTATTGTGCTTATGGGTTTGCCAAGAAAACTTCTAGAAGAAGCTGTGAATATAAACAGTGCAGTGATCTCTGTATGAATCCGCACACAACCTGAGAACATGCCTCTAAGGGGAGCATGAACTGTCCCATTCATCTTACTGTGGAGTTTCCTCTTAAGGGTACTTACAATGACTAGCAGCGAATGTTGTTTTTTTTAAGCAGAAGCACCTAGATAAAGTATGACTTCATTTCTGGAAGCAATAGCAAATATGAGTGTGTGAAAAGGGATGGTAAATGTCTGTCAGAGGTTTTTTGGAGAAGAGGATGAGGAATGCAGTCCTCCCTCCCTAATACCAAAAGCCTCAACTTCCTTCTGGGCACCAAAAAGCGAAAACCAACTCCTGTATCTTCCTGGGTGGCAAACCGACTTCTCTACCCAGCTATCAAATCCTCTGGCTTCTCTTCAACATCTTCTGTGATGCAGTTATTTATTTTCAGTTCAGAAATCTGTAGCACGTTGTACATTTGGGGACTGTGCACAATAAGATACATTTAATATGAAAATAGAGAAGCAATAATTTATACTGGACAGATTGGAACAGGGTGAAAGGGAAATTAATGAGGGGAAAAGCTTGGATGAGAAGGTGCTGCATAGTTTAAGGGTTTCTGTTGCATGTTCCAAGTCTAATATCCCACAGGACATTGGCCCTGTTTCTATGTTACAGTAAAACTCTGATAGTCCGGCATCCAACTGTTCGGCACTCCTGATACTCTGGCATCAAAATGCCAAGCACTCCTGACCAGCTGATTAAAAACCCTGCCACTCAGCACAGGGGCTGGCTGTAACCAGAGGGAGCATAAGGTTGAGGGAAGGGGGGAGGGAGTGGGATCCTGTTACCCAGAAGAGCATTTTGCTTCAGCAAAGGGGAGAGGGAGGGGAGGGGGAGGAGGATCAGGTTACAGCACGGAGGAGCTGCGAAGAGGAAAGGGGAGGGGAGAGAGAGGGAGATTGTGTCCTGGCCAGCTGTTAAGCCATGCAGCTGTACCGGACCTCCTGATTCTCCGGAAATCTGATAATCCGGCACCACCTAGGTCCAAAAGGTGCCGGATTATCGGAAGTCTACTGTACATTTAATTCACCCGGATGTAAGCACTAAGCCTGTAGGTGCTTCTGCATGGAAGTTTTTAGGCTGTGCAGACATGGTGGGAGATTTCTCCAAAAAGCTCCATGTGAAGATGGCTTTTGATTTGATGTAGAGGACCAGGGGCAGAAGGGGAGCCAAGAGAGGGTTGAAACAGCGACTGAGACTGAGATAGATCCTTCAGGATAATATAAATGATCTTAGCCAAAAGATTTAGAAGCCTTAGCGTAGGTTTTTCCAAGATGCCTGCCACCTCGCTGATCTGTTCCCTGACACGGCAGCCAGAAACCCTCGTTCTTGTGGAACAGTAGTTTCTTATCCTCTTAGGGTATGTCTACACTTGCACTCTAGTTCAAACTAGGGATGCAAACGCAGGCATTCGAAATAGTCAACAAAGCGGGGATTTAAATATCCCGTGCTTCATTAGTATGATCTCGCCGGTGTGTTACTCCAAATGCCAGCTGTTTTGAAAGTGAAACTGCGCGCCATGACGTGTTAGTTCGAACCAAACCCCTTGGTTCGAACTAATGTTACTCCTCATTAGTAACAGTAGTTCGAACCAAGGGGTTTGGTTTGAACTAATGCGTCCCGGCACGCACTTTCACTTTTGAAACAGCTGGCATTCGGAGTAACATGCCGGCGAGATCATGCTAGTGAAGCACGGGATATTTAAATCCCCGCTTCGTGCTAATGAATATTCCATGCTTCATGCTAATGAAGCGCAGGATATTTAAATCCCCACTTCATTGACTATTTCGAATGCCTGTATTTGCATCCCTAGTTTGAACTAGGGTGCAAGTGTAGACATACCCTTATTCTAAGGTTAAAATAACATCAAAAGTCTTGTCACACTCACAAAAGTAGGTGGGTGTAAATAAGTGGACTTCTCAGTTCACATTGTTACTGCCGCTGACTCACAGAGGACCTTGGGATACAGTAGCCTGCAATACATATTCAAATCAGATTCACAGTTTCTGGCTTTTGTGAGTTCAGTTCAGTCCCCTAACGTTGTTTCAATATTGTTTTTGTATTTAGACAAGCCACTGCCACAGCTTCTAGCAACATCTTTATTCTTCTTCAAAATAATGACGCCTTAAATCATTACAAGTGTTTTTCAATCTGTTGCTTTGTGCGACTGCCTCCTTTTGAAAGTGTGTGCTAATGTGGATTGGAATCTTAATGGCAGCATGAAAGAGCATCTGTATTGTTGTGTAACTTATGATAGGGATTGGTGTTCTTGGCACTTATTCAGCATAAACGTGGAGGGTTTTTTTTTGTTTGTTTCTTAAATTGAGGTCATGTCTGACAGTCAACAAGGGAACATAACTCTGTTTGCTTAGCATTTTGAATATTTATTCAGACATTTATCCGTAGTGTATATATATTATACAATGCATTTCAGTAGCAAACATTCCTCCGATAGAAAACATACATCTGCACTGCCCCCCCATCCACTATATATTTGTAAGAGTTTGTGTGTCTTTGTCCGTCCATCTGTGAGTCTGTTTGTTCAAGAACTGCTCCTAAACGGTAAGAGCTAGGACCACCAAATTTGATATGCAGCTTCCTCTTATCAGAACTTAGCGACAGGTCAGGGTGTGCGTGTGCCAAGACAATGGGGTGTGTCTGGAATGTGACTGTTTCTCATAAAACGGAAAGGGAAGGATCCTCTAGCAGGGACTGTTATGCTGTATAATGACCGCAAGGGGCTAGAGATGGGGATTAGAACAGTTATCTGCTATATATTTCAGAGAGTTTATGTTTGTCTGTCTGTGTGTGTCTGTGTCCTGCAGCTGGGGAACATGCACCCTTCCTCCAGCTGTGCTCACTGCAGCAGCTATGGACAGGCACTTCTCATGTGGCCCCAAGCTACTGCCATGAGAAAGGGCCGGGGTTGTCCTCTCTCCCCAGGGCAGCCTGCATCCTGACTCCCTTATCCCCATCTCCACCCCAGAGCAATAATTTAAATGAAGAAAAACAAAATGTATTTCATGTAAGGACCCGAGCAACGCTGAGTAAATTTTCTAGTTTCATATAAGTTCAAAAGCACCTGCTTTGTTTTTAAAACTCTCCATGGAAATTCTTCAGCCCACTACATTGACCAGGGTCTCCCCATTTATCTAGCATTGGCCTCCTCTTTGCCTGCTGTCTTACCGCTATTGAGATAGAACCTTCTCCTCTGTAGCTCCTGCCGTCTGTTCGAGCCTTCATTTGCATCTGCCAGCCTCATCCATTCTTGTGCTCTTTTCAAATCTAATCTGAAAAAAAAAATCTATTCTCTTTTACACATGCCTTTTAATTCTTCTCGCTCTCTCCTCCATTTGGTCATAGGTAGATAATGACTTCTATTGTGAAAATCCAGATTTGAGAGGAAATGTTATCTTTGAGGGACAAGAAAGCTTGATGTTTACTAAAGCAGGAAGTCAGTGTACATATATTATTACCTGTATGCATAACGTCTCCATCAGAAATATCTGGAAATCTTGCTCACATGATCATGAATTTAAATAGCCATTTCCTTTTTAAAGGTAAATTGAAGTGAGGCAGCTGGAGGGATAAAGCAACTCTTTAGTTCCCGGGGGGTAAAGTCATAGTTTTCGCAGAATTTATTGCACACGTGTTTGTTTGCGTGAGCTGTTTGGTTGCTCTTATTGACCTCTGAAAAGGTCCTCCAGAAGTTGTCTCATCACATGACTGTTTTCAGCTATTCTTGAGCCAGACTATTTTTCACCTCTGGATTGTATAAAACAAAGAGTGTTTTGCCAAATACAGGTGAATTGTAAAATACAGTCTGAAAACTCTCCTCCTGACAGTGCCTGCAGCATAAGGCTTTTCATCCTGACAAGCCACTGCCCCCCATCGAACAGCACCTTTTAGAGATGTTGGAGGCACCTCAAGAAGTGAGAGAAACCAGCCAGGCCCCACTTGAAAAAATAAAGGCACTTTTCCCCCTGAAAGATGCTGGAAAGAAGAAAGAGCAGAAGACTGCTCAAGATGTCTTCAAAAACAAGTAAGTTGAAGAGGTTTAGTTGGATTAAAAAAAAAACAGACTGCTCAAGATGTCTTCAAAAACAAGTAAGTTGAAGAGGTTTAGATGGATTTAAAAAAAAACAACAACAAATTTCAGATGAGGCTTTTTTGGTGGTGGTGTTGAATATAGCAGGCTTGAAATTTTTTGTATAGGGGAGCAATCACTTGTGGATTGAATATCTTGTGACATCAAACTGTTGGAAGACAGAGTCCCTTGTGCACAGCAATGTACGATATTTAAATTTAGGGGTTTGGTTTTGATTTTTTAAATTTCTATAGTACAGGGAATTGTGAACTCTGTGGTCTGGGGCTGGGGAGACAACATGTACAGTTTCATGGGAACATCTGTGAGAAATTGTTAGTGCAATGTACATTGTTTGCGTATGTGTGTATTTGTTGTCCTTTGAGAGTAATAAAATGGTTTGAATGAGGATAACAAAGATTTTCATCCCATTTAAGATAATATGCATTATGCCATAGAGATAGAGAAATACTTCAGAGCTTTAAACTGGTTGCAAAAGTTTTCTATCTTAGAATGCTGTTTATACTGTCCAGCAACTTCTATCAGAATGCCAGGTCAAAAGAAAAGCAGCTTGATTTTCATGATATAGTCTGTTATATAATACATTTTATTGAAAAGCCAAGTTGTTATGGGCTCCTCCAAATGCTTTTATTCTGTTAATTTTTAGAATAGAAATGTTCACTGCTATTATTATTAACTAGAATGTGTTTCGCTTACTTGTATGTGTACCGGTGTTCCTTTTCTAACCCCTTGGGGCAAGATCTCACAGCCCTTCTGGGGTCAGCACTCTGTCATTTCTCTGGTTAGCTCAGAGAGTCTTTCATCCTCTGGTGAAGGATTTTCTGTAGCCCTTTTCCTACATTGTTCAGTTGAGCCTCTTCTGCCTGGCTATTACAGGAAGACCATGCTAAGATTTCTCCTGTCCCTGGTTTCTAATCCAGGACAACCTTTGACCGGGTCCTCTGCTTTTTCCTGCCTCCTTCTAAGGCAGTGTTTCTTTAAATGGGCTGTGGGCGCACTTTAGGAAAGCCACTAGTGGGCCCACACTATTTTTGTTTACCTAAAGGCTACGTCTACACTGGCCCCTTTTTCGAAAGGGGCATGCTAATTTTAAACTTCGGAATAGGGAAATCCGTGGGGGATTTAAATATCCCCCGCGGGATTTAAATAAAGATGTCCGCCGCTTTTTTCCGGCTTGGGGAAAAGCCGGAAAAAAGCGTCTAGACTGGCCCGATCCTCCGGAATAAAGCCCTATTCCAGAGGATCTCTTATTCCTACTTCAAAGCACTCACAAGTATGAAAGCATGTTTTCTTAGAGGAGATTTTAAGAGAACATTGCATGCTATAGTGCCTTTCATTCAACGTCCTAAGACTCTTTAGTACATTAATTAACAGTCCACAACCTGTGCTGTGTTAGATAAGTATTATTGTCTCCATTTTACAGATGAGTATATAGAGGCACAGAATGATTAAGGAGTTTTCCCCAGTGTTGCTTGATATAGGTCTCTGACAGAGGATGGGATGAAGCAAGATATACTGCATTTCTGCCCTGTGGCTTAACCACAAGGAAATCCTTTCTCCTGATGGATGAAGATTCAGTGAGCTGGAATGAGAAGCAAGGCTATGTCAGATGACAGTGGAGAAGGATTTCATCTCAACAGTGTGGGCGTGATCTATGATGTGGGTAGGATCACTGTGGATGGTGGTAAAGAGGAGGTTTAGAAAGTTTCTTTATAAAATTAGAGCATTACTTTTAATATTCATGTGATTTTTAAAGCCAGTTTCCAGTTGCAAAGAATGCAAAGCAATATGTGGACCAGTGTCTTTGTTTTATTTTTACCTTTTCATGCGTCTGATTTTCTTTGCTACAGTGTCAAGGCTTTTCAGAATAACACTTTTATTTCATTCCATTTCTTTGAACAACTGTTAACAGTAATTACTGTCTAATTTTCAATATTTGTAATCTTTCAGTAGCTCTCAGTCATTCTTACCTTAAATTGATTGTCCTATTTCAATAGCCTCGTACTGTTCAATATCTTCATCAATGATGTAAATATTGGGATAGAGAGTACGCTTATTAAGTTTGCAGATGATACCAAACTGGGTGGGGTTGCGACTTCTTTGGAGGATAGGGACATAATTCAAAATGACCTTAGCAAGTTAGAGAAATGGTCAGAGGTAAACAGGATGAGGTTTAATAAAGAGAAATGCAAAGTGCTCCACTTAGGAAGGAACAATCAGTTCCATACACACAAGATGGGAAGCGACTGTCTAGGAAGGAGCATGGCGGAAAGGGATCTAGGGGTCATAGTGGACCACAAGTTGAATATGAGTCAACAGTGTGATGCTGTTGCAAAAAAAGCAAATATGATTCTAGGTTGTATCAACAGGTGTGTTGTAAGCAAAACTCATGAAGTCATTCTGCCGCTCTACTCTGTACTAGTTAGGCCTCAGCTGGAGTACTGTGTCCAGTTCTGGGCGCCACATTTCAAGAAAGATGTGGAGAAATTGGAAAGGGTACAGAGAAGAGTGACAAGAATGATTAAAGGTTTAGAGAACATGACCTATGAAGCCAGGCTTCATGAACTGGGCTTGTTTAGTTTGGAAAAAAGAAGATTAAGGGGGGACATGATAGCGGTTTTCAAATATCTAAAAGGGTGTCACAAGGAGGAAGGAGAAAATTTGTTCCTCTTGGTTACTGAGGACAGGACAAGGAGTAATGGGCTTAAAGTGCAGCAGGGGAGGTTTAGATTAGACATTAGGAAAAAGTTCCTAACTGTCAGGGTGGCCAAATATTGGAATAAATTGCCAAGGGAGGTGGTGGAATCTCCCTCTCTGGAGATATTTAAGAACAGGTTAGATAGACATCTGTCAGGGATGGTGTAGACGGAGCTTGGTCCTGCCTTGAGGGCGGGGGGCTGGACTCGATGACCTCTTGAGGTCCCTTCCAGTCCTATTATTCTATGATTCTATGATTTATGCTTAAGAGCAAAGAATTATACACATCTTTGATTGTTCCTTTTATTATTAACTCGATTTTCTTTTCCCATCACTAAGATGTACTGTTAAAATTTGGCATATTATATTAGGTGACAAAATACATTCTATTATTTGAGTCTTCACCTTGGAACATGTTATCTGTGGGGACAAAGTTAGAACATGGCCTAAAACCTTAATTTTAAAAAATTAAAACTTGTCTTTCGAAAATATTTTCAGGTATAGTTTAAGGTCTTTCTGAAAGAGCTCACTCACATACCTAATTGGGGTTTGTCTAGTAAGTTTTGACAGCTGTAAGTGGAAGTTTATAAAGCTCTAGAGTACACTGATGGAGAAGATGGGTTATTAGACTCTCAGCTCTCTGTGTACACAGATCTCTAATAGCTATCAATTCCATGACAGGAACTAGCAAATAATATTTGAAGGGTAAATGGATTTCTTACTTAAATGTTAAGTTTCCATTACCTGCTCTGGCAATTTCATCTTTAAAAGGAGTATGATGTGAATGCTAATGATCATGAATATGCTATAAAACTAATCTGAGCTGTCATAGCATGTGGACTTTCACATAATGGGTCTGGAAGTGTCCCACATTCTGGGTGATGAGAAAAAGAACCTTTTGTCTAAATTTTACCCTACGATAAATGGGCACCTAATCCATTGACTTCAGTGAGGACTGCTCTTGCTTAAAAATGTTGAATTTGATTAACCTGGGGGGTGCCCCTTTCTTTTGTCTGCTATAGGAGGAATGTGGTATGGAGATTGAGGTTGGATAGCAGGAAAATCAGTGTAACTGTAAGGGTAGTTAAGTTCTGGAATAAGCTTCTAAGGGAGGTTGTGCAATCCCCATCACTGGAGGTTTTTAAGAACAGGTTGGATAAACACTTGCCAGAGATGGTCTAGGTTCATGTCTCAGTGCAGGGGACTGGACTTGATCATCTCGCAAGACGCTTTCCTGCACTATATTTCTATCGTTTGTGATTTGTCCATAATGTGGAGACAGTCACACAATCCTGGTCTTCCTTTTTCGTCATATATTGCACAAACACACTGATTTGTTGCTGAGGTAGGAGGTTGATGTGTTTTGATTTGCTCTATTTAGTTTATTGTAATCTTCTCTTCCAGCAACGAAGATGAACCCAGTGCTAAAAAAGCAAGAGAGGAAAATGAAGAAGGTGGCTTTAGCATCTCAAACCTTGCTGAAGGCAATGTCACCAGTGTAAGCACATCTCTACGGAGCCTCTCTTTCATGGGCACAAGTAGTTCTAGACCTTTCCTTGGGGGACTTTTTCTATATCTTACATGAAATACATGAACGGAGGGGCATCTCAAATTTGAAGTACATTTGATTGATAATGTAAAATGAACTGACTAGCCCTGTTCTTGTGTGTGCCTGAATGTAGAAGCCAGCTAGCTCTGACTGCTTTTAAGGCAACATTCTTTCTTTTCAACATGCATATATAATACTGAGAGGTGGACCAAACCTGGGACCTCTGGAGCTTAGTGCATGAGTGTCTACCACATAAGCTCAAAGCCAGCAGGCTCTTAGCAAAGACTGTAGAGCACACTCATTCTTTCTCTCTGTAAGTGCTCTGAGTGCCATTCCATGGGACAGTGAACGGTACCCAGTAGGTGTTTGGGTTACACATAGAATGCCCAAGAGCAATTCTATAGGTCAGTGTTTCTCAAAATGGTCCACAAAACCAGTCTGAGAAACCTGCTAACTGGCCGCTCCAGTGTGTTTATTTACCTGCTCCGCAGCCATGGAACCTCATGGCTCCTATTGGCTCTGGTTCGCTGTTTTCAGCCCAGGGGAGCCACGGAAAGCGGTGTGGGCTAGGGAGCCACGAGGCTTCATGGCCACAGAGCCAGTAAATAAACACACCGGAGCTGCCTGTTAGCAGGTTTCTCAGAGTGGTTTTGCAGACCACTTTGAGAAACACTGCTATAGGTGTAAGTAGAATTTCAGAATCAAGATTCACTGTTAGATCCACGAGCAGAATTTTTGCTCTTAATTTTCTCTTGTATCTGCTGCTTTTAAAAACAAAATAAAGACCTTCATATTCCATTTTTTTCCAAATGTTGCCATGATTTCAGATTCTATTGTCTATTGCTTGGGGATACAAATTGTAATATTGGTTTAATTTTCCATCAGAATAAACAGTTAAATAAGCTTCCTATCTGTTAGATTTCATTGGCATGGAAAAAACCAACACATGGTCTGGTAGCACTGTATAGACTAACAAAACATGTAGATGGAATCCTGAGCTTTCATGGGCACAGCCCACTTCTTTAGATGACCGGAGTTTTGAGTTTAGGATGTGCTGACCCAAAATAAATAGGAGAGAAGGAAGTTGGGGGGGAGGAGTGGAGAGAGGGAGCAGAGGGTATAGAAAATCAGGAAGGTGGAGGGAATCAGTAAATATCTGAAGATTGGGTAGTAAAAATGAAGCAAATAAGAATCAAAGTCAATTTTTACTACCCAATCTTCGGATACTTACTGATTCCTTCCACCTTTCTGATTTTCTGTACCCTCTGCTCTCTGTCTCCCACCCCCTTCTTTTTTTTCCTTCACCTCCCCCCCTTCTCTCCTATTTATTTTGGGTCTGCATATCCCTAAACTCAAAACTCCGGTCATTTGAAGAAGTGGGCTGTACCCACGAAAGTTCCTAATACCATCTTCATGTTTTGTTCGTATATACAGTGATACCAGACCATTTGTTGTTTTTTTCTGTACAGACTAACTCGGCTACACCATTGGCATGCAAGTATGTGGTGGAGCTATGCATCTTCCTTTGCGTGCCTAATTTTGGTGTCAGAGAAAAACAGTTATTTCATATACATTAAGATGAAAATATCTCAGGTCTCTTCAACACTTGATATGTATGAGGTGATTAAAAAAGAAAAAAAGCTGTGCTCATTTCACACCCAACATAAAAATCTGATTTTTCTTAATCGCATAATATAGTTTTGAAAAATAAAATAAAAAAACCACCAACCCACTAGCAGATGGGCTTTCAAAGAAACAGTTTATTAGAAGATCTGCATGAGAAACGTTTGCTTGTAAAGCATTAAAATGTAAAATAAATGTAGAAGAATTTTGAGACTCTGTTTAGGGAACAGAGTTCAAACACACCTTTTCCCTGAAGCCAGTAGAGGTTGGTGGTACATGGGGAGTGTTCATAGAGAATGTAGTCAGAAAACACCCAGAAGCGAAGTATTATAGGATGCAGACAGCAAATGGATGGGCTGCATAGCCTCTTTTAGTTCCTAATCATTTCCTGTGAAAATTTCTTGCAACCTAAAACATTTTGCATCTTTTTCTTGCTTTCTTTTCAGTTTGCTATTAGAATATATGTTAGAATACTAGGGGCCAAGTACTTCCCTCCAATCCACTAGCCGATATGTAAACTGAAGGCAGAATTTGGCCTTAAGGAAGGATTCAATGTTGTGGGTTAGATTTATCAAGTAGGGACCAAAGCTAAGAGCATTTCTGTATCTTCAGAACAGTGGAGGCTTTCTAATAGAGGAATTGTGATCTTATATTTTATTGTGACTCATAGTTAATGTGATACACTGCTTAGCATTGTTTTTCCAGTGTATTTCTGCAGCTCTTCTGCCCATTTGTGCAGTGAATATTTCTTTATGCCTGACCTGCTTTTAGTTCCCTTAGTTTGTGTGAGGTCTCTGCACTTACATGCTTTCTTAAAGCATCAGTTCTGAAATGTCAGACTGGACCAGAAAGGGCAGCAGCTAACTGAATTGGGTATTAGCTTTTCAGTTCCAGTATCTTATTGGAGGGCCACACAAACTGCTATGTACCTATGTGGCTAAGAATTCCCACTTCGAATTAAGCACATTAGGAGGAATAAGCAGTCTTTGCTACAAAAGTCTGAAAGTTGAACTAGCCAGTATTACTGTATTTCAGAATTACTGTATTTCGGATCTCAAACGCCTAGAGAATGTGATCAGTTCATTGGAAGGAAGTTAGTACGAGTGAAAAGCAAAAAACAACAACAAAAACAAAGAAACAAAACAACCGTAGCTTCACCCTCCATGTTAAAACTGAATTGTAAATTTTGTGCTGATATATAGGCAGGAAGGGGATCTGTGAGTTGGCATGTATTATAATCATCTCTCCGTCTTTATAGGTTGGAAGTATTAACCCAGCAGAAAACTTCTGTGTTCTAGTGAGGCAGAAGAATGCGAACTTTAAGGAAGGTAAATTGCTTTTATCTGCCTTAACTCTAACAACATCTTCAGTGTTCAAATGTCCATAAGAGAAAATTCATCCCAACAGTTGGCACTAATTGGTCCTCTTGTTGTCAGCTTCAGCTGAGGGCGGGGATTGTGCGAACTTTATAAATGGCACATTCTGCTCATATATGGAGATGTGTTTTATCTGGATCAGGATTGAAGCATGTTGGTAGGCTGGCATGTTCTGCTACTGCTGATTTGTCCTGTTCGTGAAGAAATACAAATGTAATCTCTAATAATCTGCATAAATAAATAGGTATCCTCTGTTACTCTAGTGAGTGAATGAATGAGGGTATGTGGATATAGGCAGAAGTGGGGGTGAGAGTCTGAATAAAGGCAGCACTTGTATGTATTAAATATGCACCCAATCAGCCTGTCACTCAGCACACAGAAAAGAAATTGATGTAGAATCAGTGACCAATCTATTGGCTGTGATATTTGCTTGTTCTAATCTTGAAAATCCAAGTAAAACTTCTGTGTTTATACCATTTTCCTCCCCTCACCCTCTGGGGTTGGCCATCATTTTAGCATAATTCCTATGAATACTGAAAATACCCATGGAGCACAGCTACAGGGGAATGAGTAAAAGACTCAGAGCTGCAAACTCTGGTGTACGGTGAGAAGAGTGATCCTGTACCAAGCCATAGACAGGTGCAGTGGTTTCAGATGATGCCTCCCAGAAGATGTTAAAGCAGTGTTTCTTAAACTGTGTTCAGTGTGCCGCGAGGCAGTCGGAGGTGTGCCGGGGAGACCACAGAATTTAAAATGGCCAAATGGCCATCCTTAAAGGGGCAGGAGACCTTTTTGGTGGGTTTTTTTTGCTCAATAACTTTCCTCCACCACTTTTTTTCCCCCAATAGTTTTCCCCCCGACTTTTTTTTTCTCAACCAAAAATCCTTGGTGTTCCTCATAAAAGAAAATGGTTTGGTTTTCCTCGATCTTAAAAAGTTAAATAAACACTGTGTTAAAGGAACCCTGTGTCTCTGAAAACCTTGGCTTTCAGGAGTGGGCAGAATGTGTTCAGAATTAGTTTTCTCTTTTTGGTGTTTGGGAACCTACTCGTTTGCATCCAGCCTCCCTTCTCATGACCGATGGTAACTGCATGCTAGGAACAGTGTGAGAGAGAAACTGATTTGAATGCTGGTAAATGAGAAAATG